TGGCGATTCTGCATACTTCAGCGGACGCAGATGTCAGTCGCCAAGGCAAACTACCAAAGGCGAGATTGACCGATTCGATAACCTGTCCCGCCACATCACATGCGCAATCAGCCCAAAGATGGCGGACTGTTGTGCGACCACGCATGTTGTTATTGCATGGCATGAGCACTATGTTTGCAACATGATGGGCCTGAGCTCGTGCTACCGTTCCGCGACGAGCTGAAAGGTCCAGAACGGCTACTTGCATCAGGCACTCTCGACAGGCGTACGACGGGCGGGCGAAAGCTCCATTCATTTATATTCCCATATGGGCAGTGCGAGCATGGGAAACGGCCGGCTAACCAGCTCGTGGCCGTCGGGTAAGACGGTATTCCAACCCACTGCCTTGGTTTAAGTCGAGTGGGAGGTTGTGGTACGCGGCACTGGACGCACGAATCGAGGGCTTAAGCTTTGCAATTGCAGGCCTTGTGTGAATGGGCATTGGAATCGATACCAAAGGTTCTTGGACGGCAGGTTCGGTGTTATCACGGTGAGATGGAGGGTTTATTGCTTTCGATACCACGCGTTTGACTCTCGGCTTGTTGGTCTTGGTATTGGATGAGAAGTATCTTTCCAAGTATAGAACGAAAACAATAGATTTACCGGTACATAGTACGATAAGAGGGAACCGGAACAACTTGTACAGAGGCATCATGGTGATACTACTGCAGGGGTCCATACAGCCTCCCATCTCTGCTCCCGTTGTTCTGGCCCGTTTCCGCATCATCAAACCAATGGCACCGAGAAAAACCACACGAAATCCACCCTTTGAGCAACACGAACAACAAGTTGGCAATGTTTGATATACGAGATCCATCCAGCCTCCACCGCTTCCCGTTCAAACCCTCGTCCAGCAAGCCCTTCGTTAGTACGACGGTAGCATGCATCAAGAGGGGCTGCCCGCGATACATTGGAATTGGTCGGGGTAGTACGAGAAGAAAATCCTTGCGAGGCTATGTGCGTGGTGAACTATTAGACGGTGGGTGGGTGGTATAAAGAGGACGAGCTGAGCTGGCGCGATCAGAAGCTCTGGACCAGTCAGTCAGTGAGACTACGACACCCGAGGGAGGTCGGTCCATCTTGTCGCTCGTTTTTCTGCTTGTCTTCTTCGACCTTCTATTGTTGTTACATTGGATCTCTCTCGTTCGAAAATCACCCCTTTGCTTCGAGGCCATTCTTCAACATGGTGCACCATGTTACTCGCCTGGCCCTCCTCGGGCTCGGGTACGTTTCTTTCTTGTCTGAGCCCTTTGTCTTTGAGACTGTGTTGACTGACTGATGGCGTTGTTGATGCGTGTAGGACGTCTTTAGTTGGTGCTCAAAACTACACCATGACTGTGACAGAGACGGTGACTGAGTGTGCGGCTTCTTGCTACTCAACCGTCTCGCATTGTACCGAGACCGAGTCGAGCGTGTCGACTGGCTCAACGCTTCAGAGAACTGGCACTGGCACTGGGTCTACTACTCAGGACTCATCTGGAAGCTCTTTTTCTTCTGTCTCTACTGCATCTTCCACGACCGATACGGTGGTGACGGCGCTCACTCCTCGTCCTTCTGGTCCTTCTGGTCCTTCCATCTCAACCAGTACTATTCATACCTTTACAAACTCTTCGACCGAGGGCAATGGAGCGTCTTCCACCGGTACACCCACAGCACCGCCCCTCTCAATCACTCACATTTCCATCACGTCCCAATCCCAATGGTTCAATTCCACCATGCTGCACAGCACTCACACTTCTCCCGGCACTAATCACACATGCACTAGCCCATACGGCTGTACTTCGACTCCTTCGAACTCAGCCGTCCCGTCTAGCAACTCCTTTACTGTTCCGACAGACATGGAGACTATGCCGACCATTGTGCCTAGCCTGAGCTCCAACTCGTGGAGTGGAAAGACATCCCATCCCACTGCTTCCTCTGCCGGGGCACAGAGCACATCTCCTATCACTACCGATGCTACTCGGCCATCTTCTTCAACATCGGTTCCTCCAATTCAGTCTACTACTGGACGAGGAAATACATCAATTCCTGTCTCTTCTTTCACTGGAACGGAGAGTTACTCTAGTACCATGGGCGAGAGCACATTCACAGCGCTTACACGCATCAACTCTACCCGCCAATCATCCCCAACGACATTCCCTAGCCTGAGCTTGACGTCTTCGCGAGGCAATACCTCGTATCCTGTGACGACCCCGACCGGTACAGAAGCCCCCCCGAGTTCTGTTCCTGATAGCACACTCACGGCACTCACGAAGCCTACAAGGTCTGCTTCTTCTGCGTCACAGCCTAGTTTGAGCTTCGGTTCTTCCCAAGGAGATACTTCGGGAACTGCATCCTCTTTAACAGGTACTGAGGGCATCTCCTCCATGACTGGGCCGGAGAGTACATCGAAGGCCTCTTCTGGACCCACAGACTCTGGTTTCACCTACACGAACACGACTATGCGGCCTCCTGCCTCACGACCAGGAAGAACTCAGTCATCAGAAATTTCTCGCACTGGCGGATCCAGCCAGACTCAACCCATCACATCTGGCTCTCAGAACGGCACTACGACTTCGGCCGGGTCACCTGGGTCTACTAGCACTAGTAACACGGCTACTATTACCGATTCCCAATCTGAATCTCAGAGCGACACCACGGTGACTCTCCACTCGACTCTGACGAGCAGGGTCACTGTGTCTGGGAGCTCATCGATGCCCTACTCGAACTCGTCGACGACGGTCGATAGCTCGCCCAGTTCTGCCACGACGATGGATACTTCAGATTTCACCTTCGTTTCTTCTCAAACCGGCAGCCTTACTCGGTTTCTCAACTCTTCGTCCACGGTGAACACCTTGTCCACAGGGATCGGGTCGTTGGATTCGAGTTCTACTGGCGGCTCACTTACGGGCAGCACTGGATCGCAGACTGGAAGTGTTCCAACTGGAACTGAAGGCTCATCTACATCTGAGACAAGCGCTGGTGACTTTTCCAGGGGGGTCCCATCCTCGGTCCAGGAATCCTCATCTTATACCACTCCAGGGGCTTCCGTCACCAGTGGAGAAGCCACAGGCACTGGTGATATTTCGAGCAGTGTCTCGGCTTTTACTCCTGGAACCTCTGTCAGTGGAGAGACATCTCTGTCCTCTGGCACTGGGACTACCGGTGACACCTCAAGCGGCATCACGTCCTTTACCCAAAGCCAGCCCTCTCGCAGTGGAGAAACATCTGGAGGAACCTCTCCGTCGTCTGATACCACAAGGGATAGCAACCCATCAGAAACAACTGGTTCATCTCAGCTACCGAGCGAACGGCCATCTTTTTCAGACAACTCATCTTCTTCTATTACGTCTCTCACCGAAAGTGCAGAGACAACTCCCTCGACAAACACGCCCATCCGTCCATCTTCGGGTACACGGTCTTTCTCCTTTTCTAATTCATCAGTCACGGCCAACACACCCACTAAACCCACGGCACCGGCCACATCTGGTACGGGAACTGGTACGGGCACAAGCACCGGCACTAGTACTGGGACTGGTGCCAGTAGCCGAACATCCTCCTGGGCCACTGGGCAAAGCAGCGAGAGCTCTTCAACCGTGACCACGAAGACAACTTCGCCAAAGACAGAGTCTACGCCTGCCAATGAGTCTACACGGACTGGAGTAGAGTCAAGCACTTATCATGTCGCTACCCCTGGATCCTCGTCTTCCATCGGTGGAACCACGACATCCGACTCGAGCGGGTCTTCTCAGACAAGTTCCAGTGAGTCTGGCACAGGAACCGAGACAATCGAATCAAGAATTACTCAACCTCAATCTGAATCTGAATCTTCTGGCACCTCTAGTTCACTCTCAAGCACTCCGTCTACCATCACCACAACCACCACTTCTGGCCCACAAGACTACAGTTTTGCAAGCTCATCCACCACGACTCCTATCTCGGATCACACTTCAATCGACTGGCCTACCTCTACACTCATTGGCGAATCCAGCACCTCGCCGGCCAGTGCCGCCACAGCGCCCTCGCTCTCACAGCCCACAACGCTCCTCACCTCGAGCAAATCCAGCGACAGCTCAGGCGTGGAAAGCTCCCAGCCAAGTTCGACAACAAGTCAGCCACCCTTCTACGCACCTCCGTCGTACAATCTGCCTCCTTCCTACGGGCGCAAGCGTCGGGGTCTCTTTGGCAACTGAACCGGGGGACAGCACGAATTGGACATAAACCCAGGAAACGATGGAAAACTGGCCCCCCTGAATAATCTTCTTTCTCGACGCTCTTTTGTATGAGACATTTGAAATTACCCATTTTTGCAGAAATATGAATTGAACATGATCACGGTGCAACTATAATTTCCTAGAACTGAAACCGTATCTGCGTAAATGTCTCATTTGGCTGCTATGGAACTTGAAGATGTAACCCGAGAATACAGGGAACAAAACACGCAAGAGAAATGAACATGTTCAAGACTTGACGCCCTCGGCGATGGAAATAAGCGAGTAACTCAATGAATATCCGAGATCCTCAGGCGAGCTCGGTCAAGCAACTCCTCAAACTGATGCCGAGTCCGCTGCTAGCCCTGCGAAGACGATGTTAACGTCCGTCAAAAAAAGTATTGAGCAAGTGCAGTAGGTAGAAGACGCTCATCAGAGACTGGTCCGTTAGAAAGGTGGCGAAGCATACTGAGGCTCTGTCACTGTTGTCGTGCATACACCTTCGAGGTTGTAGATTAGGCAGAGAATTACATGAGTATTCTCTTCGGCGGACTGCTCTAAACCGAACTCGTGAGCCATTAGCTTAATTCCCTCGAGCTCAGAATTATCCAGCTGCACTATCGCTCTGAGGACCTAGCGATCCACGGATATCGCTCAGCATCCACCTCCGCCTCCTCCACCCACACACCCACACACCCACACACCCACGGGAATAAATTCGATGAAAATTCTTCACAACAGCAAAAAAGAAATCAGATGGCACAGAGACACTGCTCCCGCACGGGCTTGAACCGTGGACCTTCGCATCACTAATGCAGCACCTTAAGGAGAGTATTAGTACGAAGCTCTAACCAACTGAGCTACGGAAGCCGTCCGATTTGGATGCCCTCCAACCAAGCCCGCGCCCTCATAAGCCAAGCAAGCCCCGGACTTCTTACCCATTTGGGTAATGCTTTGCTAGTTTTGCATCTGGCAGGTACTCATAGAGAGGCATTGCGATGGTTGGTTCGAGAGCTGTTGTAAGTGCTATTCCCTAGCTGATGTGATGGCTCCTGTGACGGCTGCATAATCTTATTTCTAACCTCACTCCTAACTTTACTCCTAACCTCCCTCCTAACCTCCCTCCTAACCTCCCTCCTAACCTCCCTCCTAATCTCCCTCCTAATCTCACTCCTAACCTCACTCTTGAATGCTATATGTAGGGTAGTGCTGGACTTTTAAACTATTATAGTAGCGGCTGTGACGGTTGCTGTGAATAGCTTCAATAGAAGACACTAATCTGCGTCCGTAGCCTGATGGCTTGGGTTCGTCTTGAAGTGAAAAGATCTCTCTATCGGTCCCATCCACCAATAAAAGATGTCAAATCGTGGACAAACGTCATCAGTCTATACTTGCTTAACTCCAAATGTGGGCAACCAGACTGGGGTCTGTCATCTATGTTGTCCTGACGACATCTCATGATGCGGCCCCAGCAAGGGTTCCTATGGCAGATCAGTCAGATGAACAGATACCCTTTTAAGAAGATGGCTTACCTGCCACCGTAAAGACGGCCCAAATGACTCCAGACCCAACCATCTTGGGAGGACAGAATCTACTCATCGTCAGCACACACCCACATCCCCTCCCCTGCGCTCTGCCACTTACAAAACCCCAGGCATCTGCAGAAACATGGTCCAGTACGACCACTGAATCAGCGTGACAAACCCCATCAAAACCGCCGCCGCCACCGCACTCGCACCTCTCTTGAACGCCGCTCGCTTCCTTCTCGTGCTCTGTATCCTAACTCTCGCCCGCCCATCCGGCGCAACCGACACGCCCCATCGCCGCCCCAAGTCGTACCGCCTCCCCTCCATGGGAAACGCATCGCCGTAGCGCTTGAACACGGGCACAAACGCCAGCGCGCACACCAGCGCGACGCCCGGCGTGCTCGACACGAAGCTGACGATGCCGTCGATGAGCTCGCGCGCCTGGGACCTCTGGGGCATGCGGTGCCAGGTCACGCCGGTGAAGACGGCGGCGACAATCAGCAGCAGCATCTCGGACAGCGTCGTGGCGATGTAGGCGTCTGCGTAGGGGAACTCGATGCGGTCGTCCATGCGGTGCTGGATGATCTTCGTCTTGTCCCAGTCGCGCGGCCGCTGGATGCCGACGATGCTGCGCAGGAGGCCGAGGACGACGAGGTGGTACCGCGGACGCGCCATGAACAGGGTGAATATGTGCAGCATGTTGAGGTGGTTGTACCCGGGCGTGTTTCCGATCATGCCGGCGATGGAGGCGTTGGCCAGGAGTTGGCATCCAAAGACGATGATCCAAGTCCACAGGATGGATTGCTTCTCACGGCGACCGAGACGACCGCGTGATAGCCAGTGAACAAAAGGTCTGTAAGCGATGAGAGGTGTCAAGAGGACAATGACAGCCTCGGTGACGGCGAACATGGTCAGTATCTGACTTGCGTCGGGACAAGTACCCGTGACATTCGACGGCGATACAATCCATTCAAATGGGATCGGCGGCAGTTCGCTCGTAGGAATGTCTTTGTATAAGCCATAGTTGATGCCGAGATATGGCTGAATGGTGGAACCATTTATCGAAGAGGCGTTTCCAGCAGTGTAAGCGCCTGCGGGGATGCTGTTGTCGCCATGGAGTTTTGAGAAGAGAATTCCCATGGCGAATTAGTCAACGTGAGAAACACGAGAGAGGAGGATGACCCGTTCTGTGCAGATGCTATTGTGATAGTTGTGGGCTGAGATATATGTAAGCTTGTGGCGTCGTTCCCGTCGTATTTCGTACCTGCATGTTAGTCAGCTGTAACAAGGGCGACAACCTGTGGGGCAAATCCGAGATGATTGAATATGATCCAGACGTCATCATCCAATAAAAGCACGGGCTTAGACTCCTACGGTCTCCTCCTTGGATACCTTAACCAGGAGGCCTTGGGCCAACAATTTCACTGTGTAAATTGTCATCTTTCATTCCTTCTATAAGCCAGAGTGTCTATCATGAATCTATATGTCCATCATCCAAAAGTCATTATCTCACCCACACAATGCGAGAACTTTTAGTGTCCCTGTGATAAGCAAACAACCGCCCACTTGCCGTGCCATCCCCATCGTCGAGCGCCGCTGTCACCACCACCACCTTCGGTGGCTTTGAGTTCCTCGTCCTTACCCGCGGGAAGTCCGACGACAACGTCAGCCTTGCACGTTCGCAGCGACAGGACGTTAACACCAGACTCGGGTCCCATAGGGCCGAGAGCCTCCGTAAAGGGAGTGGTAGGGTCCCACCAGGCCTGTGGCTAATTAGTCACTATCTGAGAGTTAGACGTCGGAGAACACTTACATCACCAGTGAGCTTTCGGTAGTTTAAGTCTCCCTTGAAAATCACAAGCTCAGCAGGCTTAAGCTCTTCGAGGAGCTCAGGGTTTTGCTCAGGCAACCGCCAGTAGCTGCCACCAGCGGTCCAGTATCGGTTGGGACGGAGGATCAGCTGGCCCTCAGCGTGGAACTGGGCCCACTCCTGGAACAAGAACTTGAGGTCGCTCTCGGCAGCATCAGACAGAGGCTCAGGGGTCTTGCCCTGAAGCTTCTCCTCCTCCGAAGCAGTCTCGTACAGAGCACGAGGGTTGGCAATGGCGCCAAGCAGAGCGCTGAAGTCGCTAGGAAGGACGTCAGAGACGAACCAAGGAATGGACTTGGGTCGCAAGACGATGTGAGTAGCAAGGCCGGAAGAGAGCAAGTAACCGGCAAGGATCAGGTCGACATAAAGCTCAAATCCAGCATTGTCGAGAACAAAGTCAACCCGACGCTCCTTCTTGCCCTCAGCCTGGGCCTTCTTGAGAACTTCATAAGCGCGAGGAAGGTCGTTGATGAGGATGTTGGCCTCGGCAGCCTTTCGGGCCTCAGCACCCTGAAGCTTCTGAATATCCTCGTAGGTGAGGTTCGTCAAGAGAGACAGGTCAGTGGCGTTTCCCCACAGGCAAATCTCAAACATCTCGCTGAAGAGAAGCTTCTCGGCCTCAGGGTTGTGAGTGACGTCCTTGTCAGCGCGAAGCTGCTGAACAAACTCCTTGTACTTGCTAGCGAGCTCGAGGACGGCCGGTCGTGATGATCGGAATGTGTCCATCTTCTGGCGTGCGAACATGTCGTAGGACTTCCAGTGCTTGGTAGTAGTGAAGAAGGTGCTCATGCGTCTAGATCAAGGTGTGAGTAACCTCGCAATGACAGGTCGACTCATGAGTTATTTACCTATACATGTAGCACTCGGAGAAGAGCCAAGGAACATTGTACCAGCGGGGGGGGTTGCCATCGTTGTTGATGTTTCCAAGCTCCTCGACCTCTTTGTTGAAGGCTGCGATCTCGTCGGTGAAGCCATCGTCGGGGATAGGACTGGGTCGTGTCAGCTTCATGTCTCGTCTCGTGGGAACGATAATCGTACGTAAGAGCGCGGTCATGCTCAACCTCGTACTTGAGGTTGCCAAGCTGCTCGATAATCTTCTTGCCCTCAGCCTGGGCCTCAGGGTCCGTGGCAGCAGAGGTAGAACGGTAGATGTCGTCAATGGCTTGAGTCTAGAAGCTGGTGAGTATAGAGGAGACCAATTGGGTTGAGTTATTACCAGAATCACGGGCCATCGCTTGCGGACAGAGTCGCTGGCAAACGACTTGGGGTCGCTCGTGTAGGACTGAGCTGTAAATTCTGTCAGCGGCCTCTCGTTCCAATGCTCTTGGAATACATACGCGTCTTGGTGTCGTACTCCATCTTGACTTGTTTGAGCTGAAAAGTTTTCAGGAAGAAAGAATTGCTTGCTGATCTCTCTTAGAAAAAAGTCTAGGGTCAGCAAAGGATTTAAGGGACTCGTAGGAACCTTCCTCACCTCCTTCACTGCGATGGAGGGGCATCGCGGGGCACATTAATCGTTTAGTGGGGCTGTTGTGGATAAAGGCATGACGTCAAGCCCCGTTAGCCTGATGATCCGGATAGGGGCATGTTTGCGTTCCTGAGAAGCATACCTAAAGCAGTGTACCATGTCTAGAATGGGTAGACGACGATTTCAATGTTGTCGACATTTTTTTCGCTGCTAGTTCAGCGGTTTATCATTTCAAATCTTCGAAATTCTCCCATCTGGAACCAGAATTTGACGACAACTCCCAAAACACCATGATAAACCAGTAACCGCGCAAGACGCCCTTGCTGGAGAACGGTTCCACGGCCGGTCCACTCTATTCAGAGAAGAACCACTCGCCTTTACTTGTCCAATCTGACAGCAGCATTGGAGCATACGCTACAAGGGATCTCGGTTTAAAGTCGAATCCTGCCGTGATGTTCTTTGGACCCCCTGGCATTGCATTATATCGCTCACAAAGGATGCGCCGTAATTCGTCCGTGGCTTATGGTGCGACGAAGTGGTTGGGATGTGAGCATCTTGGGCTGGGTCGAGATCCCGAGGGGTTCTCGTTGAGGCTGCCCAGCCATCATGGTTTGCGGTAGCCGCGCTTGTGCTAGGACTCTCGTTGTAATGTGGACAAAACGCCTCTTGATGCCTACTGCAACGTCTGTTAATCGTACACGAGTCTCTTATACCAAGATAAAAACCATCCATGCCTCAGTTGATACTACCAACTCGTTTCCGTGCTTTCACCTTCGCCCTCAGTGCATTTGATCCCTAATCCTTCTTTTCAGGCTCGGCCGCAGTTTCACCATCCTTCTTTTGCTCGCTCGCCGGATCCGCTCGTTTCGTAAGAATCTCGTCAATGACTCCCATTTCCAATGCCTCTTCTGGAGTCAAGTATTTGTCTCGTTCCATCAAATCGTTAATCTCTTCGAGGTTATATTTGTCATGACCCTTGGCCTTGTTCAGGTGGTACTGCATAATT